GGAAATGCAAATGTATTAATGGTAATGTTAGGAAGAAAAAGCAAGGAAAGCTTTTGGTAGCAGCCAAAGCTTTTGTTAAATAAGATTAAATTTGCTGGTCAAATACAAGAGTTTCATCAGAAAGATAGTTGGAGATGTTCTGAATTTTCTAATAGGTGCTAAACTTTACTTACTCGCACCAACCTCACAGAAGTTTGGATACAGGTCCATATTGTCCCTCTAATGCAAACATGCCTCCTTGACATCAGTCACCTCTCAAACACCAACTTTACTTGGGAAGACAGGGTTAACGAATTTCTCCTGTTCTAAAGAGTGATGCAAAATAAGTTGCAGCATGTTAGAAATTAGAAATTATAAAAGCAGTTTTAGGGCAGTGCTTTAGCTGTGTTGCTGCCTTGACTCCCTGAGAGGAGCCATCTACGGACTGAAAGACAGAGTGTGTGAACAGAAGTTATTTGAGATTACCTATAGTGATCTTTGGTGGTCTGGTTACTGCGTCCATGCTTTCCAAAGATATTATAGAACACAAAATGCAAAGATGAGTCCTTTTAAATCTGTTTCTTAGGGTCTTTGAAGAAAGGAACATCAGTGAGTGCAACGCTTTCCCTAGAAGGTACAAATTTCAATAAGGAGTAAATCAGATATAAAGATGAATATCATTAATTTTCTTTGTTTATTATCAATTTTCCTTAGGTAAATCTGGTAGGAGAAGTGAAAAAGTCACTTGATTTTTCTTATCACAGTATTCCCTACCTTTACCCTGTAACAGGGAGCCTCTCCAAGGGCTCTGAAAAAGAAACATCTGTGCCAGTGAGGTGGCAGAATATGCAGCATCTGTTCCAGAGGCTACTTCTGAAGAAAAGCTTTATGCAGTATGAGACCTTTTAAAATAACTACATGCTTAAAATCAGTTGATGTTTATGAAATCCTGCTAGGTCAATTTGGTCATTTTGCAACTGGAAAATATGAAACTGTTCGTGTGCTCTTTTTATCCTGCTGGAGAACATGGCCTGCAATATGACATGTTGGATAATGGAAAAACAGTAGAAATCTTTAGACTATCCATTGCTACAGTGGCCTGGTCACTTGTGTTTATTTTGCACATTTTCTTCCCAACAGAGACAGGTGCTTCAGCTACATTATCACCAAAAAATGCCAAAAGGACTCTGACTGAATCTTTGGACATCTTCAGGCTTTTGAAAGAGCAATGGGTTTAATATATTTATTTATTTATTTATTATTTTTTTTGGAAGAATTTTCTGTGTCTTAAAATATCTAAACTGCAGCCAAAACTCCAGTGTCCTCTAACTAGACCTGAGATCATACTTTAAAATATCAGACACTGATAGAATGGCTCTACACATTGTATCTTAAAGCAGTAGGAATTCATTGGTTGTCATCACATAATGAAGCACTGTGGTTACAGTTTTAACAAAGCACCTAAGTCAGGATGCTCATTTTCCTAAAAGTAGGTGATGAGGCTATCGAAGGGCTGATGAGAATCTAATCTCTCTGATGAGAATCTTTCAAAGTTGCTCTTTGAAGATGAGTGATGCACACTTCTGTACAAATAAGTTTAAAAAGCTGAGTGCTGGTGGCTGTGCTAGATACCTCAACTGGAGTGGATGAGTTGACATTCTTTTTTTGGCTTTACAGAAAAGAAAAGCTTGGCTTTACAGAACTCTTGAAAGCAGAGTGGTTTATTTTTGTTGGTTTTGTTGGTGTTTAATGTTTTTGTTTTCCTTGTTTGTTTGTTTGTTTGTTTGTTTCTTCTGCATGGCTGAGCTAGGCCCAGGCTGAGCTGGCCCAGGCTATAGGCTCTGGCACTAAGATGTGGGAAATCATATAGAAAGATGCATGTTTTTCTCCAGGTCTTCTTTTTTCTTACCTTTTCTCCAGAACAGCTGCTGTGGATGTCTTTTCTGCCTAAGTTCCTTTCCTTGACACATATATTTATTGAGGTCACTGTCTCAGCCACTGCCATGTATACTGTTTTGTTGTCACTACCTGACCTTTCCTTCCATGTAACTCTTTGACCTTGTATTTATCCTACTACGGAGTCACACTTACTGAACTTTTTGTGCTTCCTTCCTTCCTTCCTTCCTTCCTTCCTTCCTTGACCTTTGGAGGACTTCGATTCCTTTTCATAGCAAGTCAAAGGGGTATTTTTAAGCTTTGAGCATGTTTATTCTTTTCTTAAAACTTACCTTCAGGAATGAAAAAGGCAGTTTTTCACCCTGGCCTCTTTTGTCCTTGCTTACTGGAAGGATCCTGAGATTAGGATTCAGCGTCTGGGCTTGTTGCAGGTCCTTTTGATACCCTCTGCCATCAAATCTTCTTTATTGCTACGAAAGGCAGACAGTTAACTTCCTGTCCTTTTTTTCTTTTCTTGTTTTGTTTTGTTTGTTTTTTGTTTTTGTTTTTTTCCAAATTGACTTGTTGCTCTGGGCAAGGAGGCTTTCCTCCATTTTGTTTGTGTAGGACCTCATACAGAATTGAATGCTGGTATATCAATACAAGTACCCTGATGAGCACAGCTGAGAATATGCTCCTAAAGCTTTTTTTGCTGTTCTATTGGTACATTTTTGCATCCTTTCCTTGCCTTGCCTTGCCTTGCCTTGCCTTCCCTTTTTTTTCTTTTTTTTTTTAGCTTGTGAATTTTGTTACTGCATTCTGTTTTTCACTAAAGGTAACATTTTGACAAAGAAAATGGTTGTAGAAAATATTACATGGCTAATTTTCTAAAGAGACATGTCTATATTACAAGATGAATTTCCACACGCATTTGAGACAGTGCCAAGAACTGCATCAGACAGACTGCATAGGATTACCTTTTGAAGCACAATATTTTTATATCAGAGATGGTGTTTTCAGTAACCCACTAGGAGCCAATTAAGTTTTTTTTTTTTTTTTTTTATTATGTTTCTGGCCTGTTTTAGCAGTGACAGCTCCTGAGTTCAGCTCGTCAAGTTTGCCTCAACCATACTTAGCTTCTTCTGCATGAGAATCGTGCGAGTATTCACAGGCCATCACATTGACCTTTGGTAGAAAACCCCTCATAGTTTACAGACCTTTTCAAAAATGAGAGAAGTGAAGGTTGTCTGGACATCTTGACTTCTGCTGTGTTCATATTGTTCCTTTTGCAAGACTTTGTCTAGCCCTTTACTTGACCAAATCCTTTATGACTTTTGCCAGGCACCACCATTCCTGCTCCAATTAATATCTATGCTAGTGGAGATCTGGTTCTGGTAAAAAGGCTTGAGAAGAGAGCCATGAACCAGAAAACAAAAGAGGGAGGAATGACCTAAATCTCATCAAAGAAAAAAATGAATCCATTATCCCTTGTTACCTGTTTTTTAGTACCACATCTCAAAAGGTAGAAACATCTTTACAGATCCCCTAACACAGGCCTGACTCCTCCTGTGTTTTATGTCTCCTGTCTGGCTGTTGATGTTTAAGGAGGTTGTAAGTGACTTTGAGATTTTTGTCTTCCTCCCATTAGAATTCAGTTGATGTAAGCAGTTCTATGTATAAACTTGGTGAAGAAGTAGTGTGCCATAATACATCTCTCATTTCAATTAGTGCATGTAGATTTGTGTCAGGAGGAGCATAGTTAACCTTTTTATTTGACTACCATAGAAAGGAACAGAGCTGTCCCTAAAACAGAAGAAGCACTAGGTGGAGGTGACACCATTTTTCCTTCATCTTTCACTCCTATGAGGATCAGAATTGAGAATGGGGGAACCTCCATCACTATGAACAAGCCAGAATTCCTTCATGCTCAGAAGGAGTCCAGAAATAGGCAAAAACACTGTTTCTGATGTAAACAGGGTCATCAGAAAGGCATCCTCTGTTTATAATTTGGAAAACTCTATGACATTCTTCTGAAAAGAGGAGCCAATAGGGTGAAAACATTTATTTCCCAAGGAAAGTTTTCTGGTGGGCATTGAATTCAGAAAGCAGCAGCTACTATGAATATAAGCTAAAAGTCTGACTTCCGTGCTGTTTGGATGTCCTCGGTAGCTGAAGATTTTTTTTTTCCCCTGAGTAATTACATTTTCCCATGATGTATAATACCAAAATGATGCTAGTTTGGCTGAGTCTTAGCCTAAAGAGACTGTGCTGTTTTTAAGTCCTTATACCCAGTACAGTCCTTTGAGGGTTTGATACTGAAAAGTGCAGGGTACACACAGTTCACATGACAAGCAATGAGAAGAGCAGGTGTTCAGTCCTAATCAGGACATAATGGACAACAGGGAGACATTTGGTGCAAGGCCAAGCATATATGGATATTTAGGATTCCTCAAGAAAAAAAGCATACTATTGAGGCATTGTCATATCAAAGTTGACCTAAGTTTTAGTTATAATTTGAAGACTATTAGTGCAAAAATTAAATGAAAACTCTCATTTCAATTAACTCAAAATTACTTGTTATCATGGGATGTAATGACTGGTATTTCAATTTCATAAAGAAAATACGTTTATTGAGTCAGACGTTAAAATCATTTTTTTTAAACAAACAAATGAACTTCCTCCCAGTCATATGCAAAACATTTATATAATAATGATATTGTTATTGAGAGGAATGGTAGTACACTATAATTACTACGAATAAAAAGGGGCACTATCTATAGAATGATTTAACAAAATAATTGCTTAGCAAAATAAATTAACTCTTTCAGATTTTTCAAAAGAGATATATTTTAACTTTCCATTTATGGAATATGAAAGATTGAGATGAGTTTAGGAGTATTTACTTTGCCAGCTTTGCCTTTAATTCAAAATATTTTCAAAGAAGGAACTTCAGATACTGGAATTGAAGCTGTGGTATGAAACGTGTGGATTATTTCAGAAATAGTCCAGTAAGATATCTCTTAATATGGTAGGCTATTTTCAAAGCTATTCTATGTATGAGCTTACACAGCCAGGGATCTTGGTTAGTCATTTTGCAGCAACTGCTGCCTCACCAGTTGTTTTTCTGCTTACTCGTGACTGTGCAGTTCAGCATGTCAGGATGTAGCCTGGCAGCTTTAAAGGACTTTAACGGTTTAGGACTAGCCCGAGAGGACTAAGCCATTTTCTGTGTCAAGTGCATCTCAGGAAAAAGACTGTCAGTGGGAAGCTGTGATTTGTGGTTTACATGCACGGTGAGCTGGCCAGCATATTTTATGGAGTGATCCTATAAGTCCTAGTGCTACCTGGAACCTCTATTCCTCTATTTACAGTTATGAATCTTTTTTCTTTTTTCTTTCTTTTTTTTTTTTTTTTTTGTTTCCTCTCTTTCTCTCTTTTTTTTCTCTCTCTCTCTTATTTTTTTCCCCCAAGTGCCCAAAGAGTTTTTCATTGTTTTGTTTGTATACAAGGGTATTTTTGTGTAGGCACATGAAATGTCAGTGAACAGTGAATTGGTAGAGATTGATTCAAGTCCTCAGCAACTTTCACTGTGATATTTTAATATTCAGAGTTTCAGAGCAACTTCACTCCAAATATTGTAAATCTGTTCATTCACAAGATGCTTGCATGGGAACTGAATAGGAGATCATTATATTTCTTCAGTCTCAGTACTGCTTGTAATTCCTCCTAATTCAGTTTCTTCTGCAGATGTTACAAATTTGCAATTTATTCCTTTTTGATGTGATTATATAAAATCAGGTACCACAACAATTTCAGAATTGTCCACTATATATTTTGGACAGCTGAGGAACAGTGCAAATGTTGAGCAAGGAACAGGCTGAAGAAGAGAATGACAGTTATAAGGAAGAATGGATGAAGTCTCAAGGATATTATTTGATATTTTCCCTGAAATTCTGGTATGTGTGTGCTAACAAAATATTCTGGTAACAGAAATTGAAGTTTTATCAATAGACAGAGAATCAAAATACAGTACAGAAAGAACTACTCAGCTGTGAGAATTGGCATGCTGAAAACCAAATTGCAGGTCATGCTATGAGGAATTAATCCCACAAAGAAATCAGGTACTTGTAGTTTGCAATAATAGGCACAGAAAAGACCTGCATGTGTTTTCAGATGTTATTTCAAGAACAAATAGGTACAAAGCTGCCATAAATAAAAAGAGAAGTTTCTTTCAATCTTTGTAGTGTAGTAGCAAAGTCAAAATCCCTCATTCTTTAAAACAGATTTTACATAAGGGGTTGGATGACATGTTTTCAGCTCTAACAGGGCATGTTGCAGACATTGACCCAAGAGTGCTATTAAAATAGCTTCTTATATACCTCCTCCTTCACCATTCCTAGCTAAGGTTAATGGTGTTTATACAATTATCCTGTGTTATATTGATGTGTTTTAATCTGCAGTGCCTGTGTGGTTAAAAACTCCTAATGTTATGTAAAATTGAATACTCTGGTCAAAAATAGAGTTCTGCTGGTTCTGGATTTTGTAGCACTGACATAGTCATGCACTGTCTAGGCTGACAAGGTCGAACTATAACAATGGGACTGTGGATTTAAAACAAAATTATAATGGATGTAGCAAACTTAGTACATGAACTAAAGGTCACTATTTTAGGGAACCACTGTATAAATTCACATCATTACTGACTCATATGCATTCTTTAGTATGGATTACTCATGTTTCTGTTAATGTAATTGGGGGTGGTTTGCAATTGAGACTGTTTGGCTGCTGTCAGCTAGGATAGAGGTGCTTATTAATGTTCCTTTAAGGGTGAGTGGGTGTGTGCACATGTTTCAGAAACATTTCAGTCTTGGAATTGAATTCAGTGCTACACATTTAAAGAATCTTGTATTATTTGTTTCAGCTGGACTCTTTCCAGTAATTTTCTCATGCTTCTGCGAACATCCATCAAAATTATCTCAGACAGTTCTAAACAATATATTGTAATAAGCACTTGAATATTCAAGATCAACCCTCAGAATTGTTGTAGCATAGCATGTCTTTCATTCTTTTCCAAAGTGTTCACACTAACTGGTGGACATATAATCAAATCCTTAGCACATGGAAAAATAATCTATAGTGTTGTTAGTGAATAATTTTAAGATGCTTTCAAGATAATTGATCTCTTCTTTTGTTATTGCTAAAGAAGAGAGTTCAAACAAACAAAAAAAAATCACAGAATGTAACACAAAGAGATTGTCATATGAAATTTATCCGCATCTATAACAATTGCAGTAGTAAGGATTCCAAACTGAATATTTATCAACTATTACTTCCATTATTGGCTCATTAGCAAGTTGCTATGATGTGGTGAAAATGATTCTGTGGTGGTGGTGGGATATTCATTAATTCAGTGTCTGGCCTAAGACTTTTTTATTTTGGTTTGTTATAGTTTGATTTTGTGTGTGTGTGTGTGTGTCTGCTGAAGTCACTGCATGTGACAGATTCATTCTGCATGTGTGGAGAATGCAGGGTGAGCTGCAGGACTTGTCAGAGTTCCTTGTAGTACATATTTTCACTTGCATGAAAACGTAAATTGGTCAGTGATCAACAGATGTGTGAGAATTTTGTGAGTCCTGGCAGATGGTGAGCACACATAAAGGATTAAAGCTTATGATAAGGAATGTGTTGTATCCCACAGCAATCTGTATCATAATGATTCTGTTAAATCATCTAACAGCCACATATTTTGTTTGACCTAAATTTGCATTTACAGTCATCAAAATCTCAGAGGAAATGATTTTAAACTAAGATGAAGTATCCACATTCATGTTTTAACACTAAAGTTAAATTCAAAACTTTGGCATGTAGATGACTGTACTGACTTTTTTTTTTTTTCTTTACTTCATACAATAAAGCTAAAATAGTCTGTTTATACAAAGAAATATTTTTGGGTTTGGTGTTCAACCTAAATACAACAGTTATCCTGAATTTGTGTTTTTGAGAAAGATACAAACTTTAGAAATAATCAGGCAAGAAAGAGAAAGCCTGAAGTTAATAGATAATGTTTAGCTACTTACTCTCAGAGAGAATTATTAGGACAATAATCTGGTGTCCTCAGAGGGCGGGTTGAACAACCTTTCCTTGTACTTGCAATACATTCAGATCCATTAAATAAGCAAACAAACAAACAAAAAACAAGCATAAAACTAGTGTACAACAGCATCTGACTAGTGGAGAGCATACAAGCAATTACTGAACAGCAAGTTGGAATGAGATTTAGTCTGAAAATATTTGTTTTGAATATTAGTATTTCAGCAATATTTCATCAGTATTTCATTATTAGTATTTCTTTTGTTTTTTGACAAAATATGTCATCAGAAAAGACCGCAAAACTATACTCACTGTGTTGTTTGTTTGTTTGTTTGTTTGTTTTTTCCTTAAAATAAATCACAGAAAAATGGTAGAAAACTATATTGTCCTTCTTGTACATTAAGGTGGCTCTAACACCATGGCCAAATCCTTTTCTAAGCATTTAACTTCAGCAGAAAATAAGAATTTGGAAAATCTGTTGCCATTTCCATCTTTAGAACTGAGACCAAGACCTGATCAATTTCTCTATTTAGTTTTGTATTACCTTTACACCTTCTGCAAACTCAATCCATTCAGCATTGTCTGAGTGACAAAGCCTTTTCAAAATCCTGTGTCAAGCTACTTTCCAATACAATATAATTTTAATTTGTTATGTATATTTTGGGCTCTGTGGAGCTGTTAGAATTTGTCTTTGTCTACCCAGTGAAGACAACCCATAATTTCTTTACTCCAAAATAGATCTTGACTTCTCATGGCATTTTGCACATGGGAACATTTCCCTACTATTACTGTCTGATATTTAAATAGTACGCGTTTTCTCACAGGAAGGGCTTGCTGGGAACGTTGAAACTTTCCAAACATGCACGACTTTCTCTCCTCAACGTTCAAGTCCACCCACTCATCGAGTGGGAGCCTCGTAACACAGGTAATTGGAGCGTCAAGCACTGAAGAACTGGGAGGAGGGAGGTTTGGGTAAAGATACTGGTGCAGACCAATGCCTTTGAATCTGACATGCTCATGAAGAGCAGGAGGTCTTACACCTTGGTCACAGTGCTCCTGAATGGTCAAATTTCTCTCATATCATTTGTGTAGATTTGGGCTGTATCTGAACAGGACGTTCAAATGTTTATATTATCTTTTCTTGCTGGGGGAATGAAAGATGTGGTTAACTGAATAGTAACATGAAAAAAAAACACAACCTACTTTCATATAATAAATCTATATAAATTATATTTCAAGTAGATAACATTTATTTGCTATAAACTGACTCAGTTTCTATGGAAGTGTGCTCATTTTTGTTTGTTTTAATTTAGTGAGAGAAGAACAATCCTCACAATCTCTGTTTCTCATCTCTCGCAATGTTTATTAACATTCATAAACAATAAACTGGAATATTTAATTTATTACTCCTAGCAGCAAAGAAGCTGTAGGACTTCACCATGATGCCAACCTCACTTAGATGCTTCTTTATCATTCAAAATATATTTGATAATCTAATATGAATAGTTGAAATACTAGACAGAGTAGTAGATCTTTGGGAGCTTGTGTTTATATCAACTCCAGATCTTGCTATGAAAGCCATGCATAAATATGTCTAAATATATTGCAAAATAATGTAATCCTTAAAGCATTCTTTTGGAAGAAAAAAAAAAAAAGAGAGAGAGAGATAGAACAAGAGGGCAAGAGGACACAAGAGTTTTAGTTTTGACAGTATCAGTTTAAATGTATTGGATTTTATCTGGAGTAAATCTTGGCTGTATTTGGTGTTAGTTTTTGATTTTACCACAGAGGCAATGATTACTGAACATACAGAAGATTCAAAATGTCTTTGTATTATATGTGGTGATTCAGTTTGTAGTTTTAAAGATGACAATACCCAGAATGTGCAAAGGGTCATCCTGAGGACTGCTATCTAATAATCTGAGAGGGATACCACCATAGCTGCATATACTTTTATTAAAGATGATCTCAATCTATAATGAGTTAGTGAGAACTTTTGTATATAGTATTCTTTCAGCTTTCTCTTTGCAAGATACTTATACCTCATATGTTAATAATAGGTGTACTATTTTCTAGAATAAGCTCAGACTATGGAAGTTCAACTTTCAATACAGTATTGAATGTTATATATACTTCAGTGGTTTACAACCCTTTGAGACCCCTTTGTGGACAAGAAATATCCCTATGAGACTCCAGGGCCAAAAACCTATTGCACTTTCTTAACTATCAAGGCCCCTGCAAAGTTTTTGCCTCCCAAAATTTTAAGCATACCTGAAAAAGGGCAGTGAGTGAAGTCTCTCTTTACCCTGTGGCCAGTTCTGTCCTTCTTTTGAGAGCCTCCTGGTTAATGCAGTCGGTTCTCCAGCTGCAATGGCAGCTGTTTGTGCTAACATGTTTCTGAGTCATAAAACAGTGCCTGAAAAAGCAACTTTCTTATTCCTTTTCCCTTAAGAGAAATCTTAGGAAACACAGTGAAATGACAAACATGAAAGTTGCTTATGTCCCTTGAATTTATCCTGAACTGTGGATACAGTGTGATATTGGATAGAGTCGCATGATTGTGCATTTTCTCCATGTGGTGCTGATCCCATCAGATACACAAGGTAGACTAACAGAACAAAGATCACTGCAGGTTTACAAATATTTAGTCTGCAACCTGAGTGAGTCTACATTGACAGAAAGGGATTAATTTGTATATGCTTTCTACTGTCTTTGAAAGCCTGTTACCTGCCTTCATTTAAGTGAGGCAGAGACCTTATTGAGCTCAGTTACAAATCAGAAAGAATGCTAATACTCTACCAGTCTATGTGACCAAGTCCGACTAGTTTCAATAAAGAGACTATCAACCAGGTGCTCTCTGTAGATATATAGTCAAGCAGGACATGAGGAATGAGCCCTGGTTACATCTGAAAGTGATTTTTTTACAGCTGCCTGTGCTATTAGAGATGCTGAAAGATAAAAGAATGGTCTTCAAAAGTGTGCCACATTTTCTGAATAAAAGAGTGAAAGATATGGTAGTAATTTTATCTTAACTCCTGTTTTGCTGATTTCTGGCATTTTTACTGTTATTCTCACAGTTTTTTTGTTTTTTTTGTTTGTTTGTTTGTTTGTTTCGTTTGTTTTTAACTGATATTCTCTGCCTTAATTAACCTTCTGAAAGTGAAATTTAAAACATATGTAGTTTTGAGGGGTCTATACCTTCTGATGGTCCCAGCTGTAGCTACTGCTATTTACCTAAGCAACCTGAGCAGTTTTATGGTCAGAGTAGTTCCAGCCAAACGTCTCTGTTGTTGTGGGTGGAGATATTTTGCATGTGCTGCTGCACAACAGCATGCTCATTACAACCTGAATCATCCAAAGGGAGCATTTACAATGACATTCTCATGCAAGTCATTTTTCATTACTGTAAACTATATATACTACCCCATATATCAACAAGAATTAATTACACAGGCTTAGCATGGTATTATTAGGATCCAGATGGGGGAATATTTTATATTAACTTTGACAAGTTTTCTGAGAGCTGTCTTATGAAAAACAAAATGTGAACATGAATGTGGTACTACATCTATCAAGTAAATATTTTTTCAATAGAAAATCATCTTTTTAACATCTTATTTACATTAATACTTCAGATGTGACTCAAGAAAATTCCTGGCATTATTGCTTGCCTCAGCAATGAAACACTGCTATGTAAACTGCTTATTATATAATTTGGGGGTTTAATTACTTACAATAATCTATGAATTTACAACTAAATGTTTATATAGTATGCTAATTTTAAGACTGACAAATTTATCTGACTGATTTTAATTATATATTTCTGTTATGCTTATGTTTCTTAAAAATTAAGAGATAGCATAATATCCTTAGTTGCTAAATACATGGGTAAAATTAACTAATTCATTATTTACCCAGAGACAGCCTCTCAATGTTTAATGTGAATATATCACTAGTTAGAAGTTATTTTTTATAGGCTTCTATGTTACAGCCAGCCATCACACTGTTTGAGTGATATGTTATCGCCAGAGGCAACATCAGCATGGAAAGAAAGGTGTTCTGCCTGCATGACACTCATCTGGAGTGGCATTACTCAATACCTTGCAAAAGGTGTGGGATGCCAGAGAGTTTGAAAAGATGTTCTCACAGCACCTCACGGTAATGGAGCAGGAAGGAGTGAAGTGATTTTGTTGAATCCTATATTTGCAAATGTGGGTGGAATTCTCTGAATAATTTTGGCTGAAATGAAGCCTTTGCTCAATTTCCTCCCTTGCCTAGGGGAAGTGAACCTATGCCCCAAGTGGTACTTCTTTATTCAGAAGGCTACCACTTCTTCTGGGGTAGGGTTCACTTGTCCCCTCTTTTGCAGGATATAATGTCACATTGATTTGTCTGAAGAGAATTAGGATGGGAGATACTTGACAGCCCAGAGATTATGGCATTCATCTGGCAAGAAATTAGCTGACTTTTCTCTAAAACAGCCAGAAAATGGAGTTGAACCTATGGCTGCTGTTTATTCACACATCCTCAGAACCAAAGCAAATTAGGTGACATCCACTCTCATAGCTGGAGGTCACCATGAAAGGACAACAGCATAACAGCAGAAAATAGGTTGTTCATTTCATCTAAAATCATTTAATCAATTCATCAGAGGAGGATCTGACTCTGCAGTTCAATAGGAGATAGCATTGTCTGAAAAAAATCCTTAGTATCTCAGAGTTTGCTTCAAATACTTCATTATTAATAATTTGTGCACAGATCTCCAAAAAAATCATTATTTTGAACCCTGTCTCAGAGAGAACAAGTGCAACAGTGAATGTTGCAGGATTCACACAACCAATCTGAGCCATCAATTTGTAGTGAATAATATGTGACAGAAAAAAAAAATCATTAAAAATATGTGGACCAACATATTATGGCCCTTATGCATCCTGAAAATTTCTTGCTTTATCACACAGAACATCATAAAATTAAATTGGCTGTCCAGATGCTCAGATCATGCCTATTTGAAAAGAAATAATATTATCTAGATTTCCATACTACGTAGATTGAAACCAAATGAATTTTATGGGTTATGATACAATGTTAGATAAACATTCTGGGATGAATGTAATTAGATTGTTATTTCCCCAAAATGTAATTGAATGACCTTAATGCTTCTTGCAAAATCTTACTTCAAAAAGTATTTTTATGTACTCATTCAACTGTACAATTTACCACCTAAATGCTGTAGCTATCTCTTGAGTTTTATACAGTGGCTTTCATGCTGTTGCAGACTCTGCAAGCTCAAAGATAATGAGTCATATCATACTCTTCCTTACAAAGAATAATAATTGCGCCACAGGCTTAAAAATCATGGCATGTAATTATGCATTTGCATGGGTGGAAATTACCTCCTGTTTTTTGAAGCTTTCTAGGGAAGTTACTGGACTCTAAATAATGTATGTAAGAGAAGTAAAGGATCAAAATCCAAATGAAAACATACATCTATAAAATGCCCTCCTTTTTTGCTTATGAGAGCATTTAATCTGTGCATGGCACAGAATATAGGAGACCAGCCAACTTCTGTCTGTCACTTCTGTCAATGCTGTCTGTGCTCATGTTTTCTCATATTTTTCTTCAGGTATATGTTCTTTTAAATTCTTCATCTAAAGGCAGTACCAAGAACTGATGTTAGTGATGTGAAAAGTGAGAACATTTCCAAGTACTAGTTCTCCCAGGCTGCAGTCCTGGGATCTGCAATTTACATTTTTAGTATCTCTTCTCAAGCCATCTTGCTACTGCATGTGGAACAATATATCATTTGTTAACATTTGTGAGGTATTTGTGGATGGTGTGTCTGAAATGTCCTGGAACCTCTCACAGAAATCAGAGATATTTGTTTTCCTGGCTCTGCTAGTGTTAAATTACAAGCACTTAAAAACTGAACACAATTATTGCAAGACTGATGGCCTGAATATACTAGCTGTTACTGCACTGAAGCAATCAATTGGCTCTCTAGGATTCTACTCTGACTTTAGATTACAATAAGAACCTAAGCCAGTAGATTCCCTCATACTGTGGTTATTTTTTCTAGGGCTAAATGGGTAAAGAATAATCTTTTGTTATATTAAAGGTTTGTAAATAGATGCAGGTCCATTGATTTAAATGGTATTTCGTCCACTCACTGGCCCAGAGCTTGTCTTGAGATGTAATCTAGTTTGTCATAGCAGTGAGAGGCCTGGTGGAATACACATGATTATCACTGTCTGGAAGAAACAGGTAAATCTGTCAATTTCACCAGCAGATCTTTGCTCAGCCATGCCAGTTTCCAGCCTTCCCTGCTTGCTTTCTTATGCACAGGGATGGAGAGCCCTTGAACTCTAAGAAAAGAGTCCTTAAAGAGTTCCCAGCTCTGATCAGTTCCTCTGTCCCTGAGGACTATGTCTCAGGGGAACTCATTTGCTAGGTCCTTATGTGGATGGAAATTGACTCTTTTAAAGTTCAGGATCCTGACTTTGCTCTTTGCCAGGCCCATATTCCTTGAGATCACAGTACAGTGATCAACTGTAGAGCACAACCCTACAGTAGCATGGTTGCTGCAGCCCAGACTGCCTCCAGTCTTACACTCTCTAATGAGTTCATCCACATTGGTGAGAACCAGGTCCAGTAATGCTTCACTTGGGCTGAGGCTAACTGTATGAAGTTCAACAAGGCCAAGTGTTGGGTCCTGCACCTGGGGCGCACAACAACCCCAAGCAGAGCTACAGGCTGGGAGATGAGTGGTTGGAAAGCTGCCTGGCAGAGAAGGACCTGGGAGTATTGGTTGATAGTTGGCTGAATGTGAGTCAGCAGTGTGCTCAGGTGGCCAAGTCCAACAGCATCCTGGCTTGTCTAAGAAGCAATGTGGCCAGCAGGAAGTGATTGTCCCCCTGTACTCAGCTCTGAAGAGGCTACACCTCGAGTACTGTGTTCAGTTTTGGGCCCCTCACTACAAGAAGGACATGGAGATGCTCAAGAGAGTCCAGAGAAGGGCAACAAAGCTGGTGAGTGGTCTGGAGAAAAAGTCTTATGAGGAGCAGCTGAGGAAGCTGGGATTGTTCAGACTGGAGAAGGAGGCTTATTCAGAGGAGGCTCAGGGGCAACCTTATTGCTCTCTATAGGTACCTTAAAGGAGGCTGTAACAAGGTGGGGATTGGTTATTCTCCAACATGCCTGGCAACAGGATGAGGGGGAATGGGCTAAAGTTCTGCTAGGGGAGTTTTAGGCTGGATATTAGAAAAAACTTTTTTACCAAAAGGGTTGTTAGGCATTGGAATGGGCTGTCCAGGGAAGTGGTTGAGTCACCATCCCTGAAGGTCTTTAAAAGACATTTAGATGTAGAGCTTAGTGACATGGTTTAGTGGAGGACTGGTTATTATCAGGTCAGAGGTTGGACTAGGTGATCTTGGAGGTCTCTTCCAACCTAGATGATTCTGTGATTCTGTGACTTTCACTGATATTGCAGTCAGATTTTCTGACTTATTTATATATGTATGTATGAAAGTATCTATTTATCTATCTATCTATCTATCTATCTATCTATCTAATCTATCTATTTTTTTATTTATTTTGCTTGGGAAGTGTATCTGAAGCTGCGTGAACCTAGGGTTTTGTTACATGCTGCTGGGTAATAATATTTTAGCATTTTTGTCTCTCAAGTTTATTGTAAATATGTGTGCATGTTGGCTTAGATGTCTCCTTGGTTTCTACTTACCAACTTGATGTCTTCATCTCACTATGAAGAAGATAAAAAGCTTACCCTCTTCTCTATAACACTCCATTCTGCAGGGCTTCACTGAAGGCTTCCTAAACCTCTTTTACGAAATATAAAGGATATTTGGCACTTACCACCTCCTTAATTGCCATCTTCCCAAACCAGGCTGAAAAGTCTGAGTTTTAGTTACAGACATTTTGTTTTTTCATCAGATATAGAGATTTGAAGCTTTTGATAGAGAACATGTGCTGCTGGTGGCAAAGTGATGGACTGGACTGGACTAAGATCCTGCACTAAGGATTCCTCCCTGCCATTTTCAGAAATAATTTGAAGTAATCAACACAACCTCTGCTTACTAAGCAACAGGAAGACTTCATTTTTTTTACTTCTGTGATTTCCTTCATATGTTTGTTTGTTTGTTTATTTTAATAATTAAATAATGCATACAAAATTTACAATCTTGGTACTGTCAATTGCAATGCTGAAACCGATTGATTTTACTCAACTGAAGGTTTTCAGCCCAACCTTTGAACATGTAGCACTAAGTCTGTTCACATCACTGATATGTAGTCTTCCTGGGGTTCCAAAATATCCAGCAAAATTTGTAATAGCAGTGCAGACATGTGAATGGTTAATTCAAATCTGCAGAAAACAAATTTGCTTTTCTCAGTTGTAATTTGAAAATGTTACAGACCATATATTAAAAACTAGTTGCCAATACCTATTTGGTTTTAGTCTGCAACGGTCAAATTATGCAATTTGAAAAAGACATGCAAAACATAACTGGAAGTTTCTCTCCTTTTCCAAGATAAATAAATAAATAAATAAATAAAAATATCCATAAAACATTTCATACTCTTTCCTCTGATCAAATTAGAAAGGAAAGTTTATTTCCTGTTTCTTCAACTGTAATGAGATGCTAAGTATTCTCAATGAATGAAAAATAGAAAATATTAATATGAAATATTCCACTCCAACAACAGAGAAGAAAATTATATAAAGGTGATAAAAGAAATGCAAATCAAGTTCCTTCTGTTTGCTAATCGTGAAAATGAAAATCTTCATTTTCTCTAATCACAGTTATGCAGTATTATATTAATAAGTTAGTAATAAAACAGAGCTGAAATCCAGGCATTTGTATCATAAATCTTAATTATAGTCATAAGAAAATTAATTTTTTGGTAATAGTGTTTTGCTTCATGACCTTCATTAACAAAGTAGGAGGCTTGTAGTTTTCAGCCATATGTCAGGGTGAGAAGTCAATGCTAAATTCCTAAACAAGAATTTAATACAGCACATTTTTTCTGCAGGTATTATAGTGTTGGTTTTACTGACAAGAGACTACTGAATGGAAGTATAATTGTGGGATTAAAACCTCATGTTTAACAAAGTGACCAAGGTGATAAAGATGTCCATAGATTTATTTGTAAAGTTGGTGTAGATAACTCAATGCTGACAAAGTGAGAAATAAAAAGAAGCATTCAACAATTTGGATCAAAAACAGAGGTAAGTAATAATAGAAAGATTTAAATGTAGAAGGTCTGGAAAGGTGAAAAATCAACCTCCAAATTTACTAATGTACAGGGAAAACTACATATCTAAAGCAACTGAAACAGCTAGTTAGTACTGCTCTAGACCCATCATAGAAATGCATGATTATATTAGAGCTTCTTTGCTCCTTCCTCTGCACATTTCTTTTATCTTGTGTGAAATTACTGAGATGTGGACTGGCTTTGGTGTGTGCATTGTCCAGATGACTTTGCACTGGAACAAAATTCCTACTTATGCCATTTGATGCTTTTATAGTATAATTAATAATTTCAGAAGACCAAAAGGAAAAATGTTTTGTGTGCAAAATACCCTCAAGCAAAAAAAAAAAGCCACTTTGCAAATTCTGATTAGTTAAGCCTCACACCCCCATAAGAAGCAGGCAAATATCACAGACACTGTTTTCCAACTGAATTAACTAAGGAACAGAGCAATTATTACAGGCTTCTGCCTTTACAGCTGCTAATAGCCCTATTTATCCTGTCACACTTTAGTATTACAGCAAATCCTCTGATCCTCTCAGTGTGTACAGAACTTGGTACATCAGAGATCATACAGGAAATTTGTGAATGCAGGAGTCCCAGTTCACCAAAATGCATTCCAGTGTTGAGCCTGCTTAGCCCTAGTGTTACACCGAGTTGCTTTCAGTTTTAGACACTTTTAGTGCTTGCATTAGTAGGAAAACAAATAAATTTCATGTTGTAAATGCAGACCCTGCTGCATAATCTTCAATTTACTTTATCATAAACTTGAAGCTAGAAGAGCTATGAAAAACAAATATCTTGAATATTTATATCAGTTGCTCAATCAAGTTTATTATAAAGAGAAGGATGTGTTGGCTTTAGTAGATGGGTTGATATGTTGCACCAAGGTAACAGTACAGGATCTGTGTTTGTATTCCCCTCTGAAGTGTGTGGGAAATGTTCCATGCATCAGCAATGCATAGAAATGAAAGCACCCCTCTATTTAAGCACATGAGTTGAGCCTTGATTCAGTGAAGCTAATGGTAGCTTTCACATTGACTGCAGAAAGAAGATGCTCAGGCTTCATAGACTGGAACCTGGTACAGAGAGGCAGGAGTTTGTCTTCATTTGTGTTATGTTGCAAAGGCCACTGGAATGGATCAATTTGCAAGTGTGTGCCCTTGTCAGTAGGTAAAAGATGAATTTTCACGTTCAATGCACTCTTCTATCTGGAGCTAATTCTAAGCTAATACTATCTGCTAGAAGTAGGTAGTACTAAGATATAAACATTAATTAGATATTCAAGATCTGGGCAGAGAAATCCTATCTGAAAGAATACATAGTAGAAATCTGATATCAACAAGATTTCACCTGGAGAGGAATAGGTTCAAAAGTAGTCAGTACTATTTCTGTCTAGCCCTGGGATTGATCAGTTTGCTTTTGCTGGTGGTATATCAATGAATGCAGACAGTAGTGAGACAGCTGGTCAAAAATGAGACAATTTTGATGAACATTTTCTTAAATTGCTTTTTTGATTGTTGAAACTTTTTTGGGAGGTTAGTGGAGGGTGTTTTTTGTCTCACATTGTTTTGTTCCATCAAAGACTAAATGAGTATCATTTTCTGGATTTGTGGATCCCCTGATGTCTTATGGCTTCAGATGTTCTGTTTTCCTCTAAAAGAGAGATGGTACTTGATTGCCTGATTTCCTTGGGACTATTTAGAATATTACTGACTATGTGTACAGTATAATGATATGCAAGTGTAAAGCAAAATGTCTCATAAAGTACATGTGCTTTACATACATATACATAAGAAATTCGGTGATATCAGAAATGCTCAACTGTAAAAGAAAAAGGTGGCTGGAAGACCAAATTTTATGCAATGTGGTAGTTTATAGCTTCACAGCAAAAAGGCTGTTGGAACACAGATCAACCTGGAAGAGTACCTCACTCCCAGCACTGGAGTTAACAGCAAATCCGTTTATAACACCTGCCATCCAGTTCAGTGCGTCACAGAAATTTCTCTCTCTTTTACTGTCTTCAGCAGATTTAATTCAAATTTTCACCACTCTTAAAGGGAAAGATCACCACATAAGCATCCGTGTTTTAGTAGTTCAGTGCACTTAGCCAGTGGGATTGTTCCCTTTGATAGTCTCTCTGTTTGTCTGTCTACCTCTCCCCCCTTCTCTCACCCCTTCCAATATACAAAGACTGTAAGGAATATAGCAAACTTTTTTAACTCTTAGCTTCCATGCAGAATACTAGGGATGGGAAAGCATAATACAAAAGGAATAGCAGGAATCACAAAAACATGTCCCCGAACCAGAAACCCTAAATTAAATTTGTCTACTTACCTAAGGAATAAAAGCTATCTTTGAATGCTGCCCTGCAACTTAAAAATTGAATTAACCACTTCCATCATGATGTTTTTGTAGTACTAAATCCATTCCAACTTCACAAAAAGAAAGTCACAATCAATACAAAAGTGCAATTCTTAGAGTTTGGATAAGTAAGTTACCAAGTTGGTGGAAATAATCACAAATTACAGTCTAAATTCTTTGAAAGCGAGGCCAGCATCCTTCAGTGAGGTCTGAAAGCTTCACTTGATTTCATTAGGACAAAAACATAAGCAGTATTATCCTTCCTAAGGGTGCTTTCAGGGCCTTTTAATGTTTGAGCATAAAGAGAAGTGCTGTTTAAGCTAAGGTGCCCTTAATATCTTCTATCTCTTGAAGTCAAATAATACAACTGTATCATCTTACTCACCATTTAGGTTTTAAGGGTGACATTAAAAATGACTAGAACCACAGGAGACAAAATGCTTGATATCTTCCAGACTTCCCCCAAAAGACCAAATATTTTGAATTACTTGAAGATTTCAGGTAGGATCTGAGCCAAACCATCTCACTGTCACTCATTGCTAGAGCTATGGGATGATAGGAATGAGACAGTAAAGGAAATCCATTATTTGATAGAAAGGAAAGTCTAGCTTGGCTTTCCTAAGAGTTTGGTCTTTCAGAAATGTTAAAAGCATCACACAGTACACATACCTAGTATGTTTAAACACTGAGAGGACCTCATTAATCATCCTGGGTGGTTTAAACACTTAATCTCTTGCTGACCCAATCCCATCTCTTTTCCCTTATCATTCACAAAAACCTATCATTTGGTATCTGACTTCAGGCTTTTTTTTTTTTTTTCTGAAGGTGACTGATACATTTTCAGCCTTGTGGTGTAAAGCCTGTCAGTTTCAATCTCAAATGTGCTTAAGACCATGTGAATAATTTTCCAAGCCTTGGTATCAGAATGAATTTCTTTGAGTGAGAGTAGTATAGATGAGATTCTGCTTTAATGGTCTAATGCCTATCATTAGAGACCTAAACCTTAGCTATACACAGCAGTGAGAGAAGCTTGACCATGCAGAAAGACATAATCAGGCTAAGACCTAAAATAGAAATCATATAGTAGTAGATGAGAGAATTATAGAGAGGGTGAAAGAATGATAAGAAAACATATGAAAGAATATTCACTAGGTACCTTGTGATCAAACCACTGCTTCCTTTCATCTCTGAAATTTCATCATTTCCAGCAGCACTCACTTGTAAGGGTTGAAGTAATCTCATTTTGTTTCTTTGTGGCAGTTTCTGAGACAAAGGTGCTCTTTACACATTATTTCTTTCTTCCTTTCTTTCCACTACATCCGTGCTACACAAGTTTGGATTTCTCCTTCTTGCACATGCTTGCATTCTTACGTCCTTAATGGAAAGCATTTAGTGCCATCTTGTCATACAGAAGCCACTGCTTGTTTGTCTGACTCTCTTCAAACTGTCATCTTGGTTAACAACTGTGAAGGCTTAAGTGATACTAGCTCTTAGCAGTGTCCTGCCATTGTATGTTTGACATAAAAGGTCACAAGAATGACAAGTAAAAGCACTTATATTTTTGTTTCCAAAATACATTGATTTCTAACCTTTTTTTTCTAAGCAATGGGCATAAATCACCTTTACATACATAGTTCAAAGCAGTCATATCCTCCTTATCAGAAAGACTAGACATATCTCTTCTTTGGAAAGCTTTAAAAATACTTAATACAAACATCCCAAAACTAGATGTATTTCTCAAGCTGCCTTTCCAGAAGGCTCTCTACTCAGCTTCAACATTGATCCCAGGTATCCTCTCCTTGGCCATGAAGGTTTCCACTTTAGTAGTTAGCTTCAAATTGAGA